TGAGAAGGCCCTGTCTCTCATCTCTATCCGGTTGCACCTGCAAGGGGGGTGGGATCGAGAGCAGGGCCTCCTCAGATTATCTTAACCTCTGATATGGTTCATAGAGGAAGATACATTCGAACAGGTAAGCAGGGCCAGAACCGTTTAGGGCTTTATAGGCTAAAGCCAGCACTTTAAAGCCAACATATGAAAAGGAAATTAGAATTTGCCAGACATGAAAGTAGTTTGAGGTGGTAAAATAAATAGAATTCTGGACAATATCACTTCACACACTGCATACTCTTTAATGTTCTTCCATGAAAATTATTCTTTACATCTACGAAATGAGACCTTGGGCAAGTAATGTTCTTTGAACTTAGAGGAAGATAATGGCAACCCCCACCACCACTTGAACAAATCTTACAGGAAGATACACAATAACAAATCTAATAAGTTAGTTATAGGAGATAGCTAGACCATAATTTCTCTATCATAAACTGGATTAATGTGTTGTCGAAGGCTTTCATGGCTGAAATCACTAGGTTGTTGTGTGTTTTCCGGGCTGTATGGCCATGTTCCAGAAGCATTTCTCCTGACATTTTGCCTACATCTATGGCAGGCATCCTCAGAGGTTGTGACGTCTGTTGGAAACTAGGCAAGTGAAGTTTATATATATGTGGAGTGTCCAAGATGGGCTAAAGAATTCTTGTCTGTTTGAGGCAAATGTGAATGTTGCATTTGGCCACCTTGATTAGCATTGAATGGCCTAGCAGTTTCAAAGCCTGGCTGCTTCCTGCCTGGAGGAATCCTTTGTTGGGAGGTGTTAGCTGACCCTGATTGTTTCCTGTCTGGAATTCCTCTGTTTTCTGAGTGTTGTTCTTTATTTGCTGTTCTGAATTTATAGTTCTTTTAAATATTGGTAGAAAGATTTTGTTCATTTTCATAGTTTCCTCTTTTCTGTTGAAATTGTCCACATGCTTGTGGATTTCAGTGGCTTCTCTGTGTAGTCTGACATGGTGGTTGTTAGAGTGGTCCAGCACTTTTGTGTTCTCAAATAATATGGTGTGTTCAGGTTGGTTCATTAATTGCTCTGCTATGACTGACTTCTCTGGGTGAGTTAGTCTGCAGTGCCTTTCATATTCCTTGATTCGTGTCTGGGCAATGCTGCATTTGGTGATCTCTATGTAGTCTTGTCCACAGCTGCATGATAAACGGTAGGACTCCTGCAGAGGTGAGAGGATCCCTCTTGTTCTTTGTTGAACATAGCATTTGTTAGATTTTCTTAGTGCAACGTTTCTCAACCTGGGCGTCAAGACCCCTGGGAGGGTCGTTGAGGGTGTTTCAGAGGGGTCGCCAAAGACCGTCAGAAAACATATATTTCTGGTGGTCTCTTTGGCAGAGAAGGATGAAGATCTCTCTGCATGTCCTTCTCTTCCTTTTTGGAAATAAGATGGTGTATCCTCCCACCAAAAGCCCTCCTCCACTGTGATTAGTCAGCCTCTCAGCCAGCCTCTCAACCAAGATTCCAAATGGGGAGGGGAGAGCAGCTGTGCTTGGCACATGGCAGCTTGGTGCGCATGTGTGGGTGAGGGAGAGCATGCGAGGCTGGAGGGAGGCTTGTGCCAGAAAATCCCTTCAAGGCATGGGGGTTATGTGTGAGAAGTTTGGCCCAGTTCTGTCATTGGTGGGGTTTAGAATGTTCTTTGATTGTAGGTGAACTATAAACCCCAGCAACTACAACTCCTAAATGTCAAGGTCTATTTTCCCCAAACCCCACTGTTCACATGTAGCCATACTGAGTATTCGTGCCAAGTTTGGTCCACATCCATGTTTGTTTGAATCCACAGTGCTCTCTGGATGTAGGTGAACTACAATTCCAAAAATCCTTCCAGTTTTTTCTGTTGGTCATGGGAGTTCTGTGTGCCAAGTTTGGTTCAATTCCATCATTGGTGGAGTTCAGAATGCAAGATACGTTCAGGGAGAGGTTACCTTTTGCCTTCCCCCTGAGGCTGAGTGAGTGTGACTTGCCCAAGGTCACCAGTGGGTTTTTATGGCTGCGTGGGGATTCCAATCCTGGCTTCCAGAGTCATAGTCCAATTCTCAAACCACTACACTATACTGGGTCTGTTACACTGAAAAGTGTGTTTTTTTTAACATTGAAAGCATTTTAAAATATGAAAATGACCTGATTTCTAAATAGTATGTTTATAGTTCTACTAAGCCAGCTTACTACCTCTTTTGCTTATAATGTACAGCATGCACAATAGGCACAAAAGTGTGGAAAGAGTAAAGAAAGTCTAAGAGCAAGTCCAAAGTGTGGAAGAGTGAAATAGAGCTTAATGGTTCACTTTACACCCAAATTCAGAAGGAATATATTAAAACACACTCCTCTTGCTGTTGTTTAAACTATGAATGTTGCCTTCTGTGGCCTGGCAACATAGAGAATAAAAACAAAACAGTAAGTTCAGTAACATAAATAAGTCAAAGTTACAATCAATGACATGCAGCTGCAAAACCACAATTGTACATTTTTTAAAATATATACTGTATATTGTACCTAGCAGCCGCTATCTGGAACATGGCTGGTAACAAGGAACCTTTTGGGCAGAGATAGCAGGTTTCCTCTTTTGCAAGTCATATCTCCAGTTTGTTTAAATGTGTTTAAAGGTCCCTCAATGCCTTTCAAGGGTTGAGACAATAAACTTGAAGAGAGAGGCTGTTACAGCACCTCCTCCCTTTTGCATTAGAAGAGTGGTTTTCTTCCTACAACTGTCACTTTAGTAGTAGTAGTTAGAAGGCTTAAGTGGGACTGAAGTGGTGCCTAAACCTTGTCTTGTCTCATGAATGTAATGCTAAGCAGAACAACACTAAAGAGTGGAAAGACCAATCAGCTGAACTAGTGGTATCTTACAATTAAAGCAACAGCAGCAGTCAACTTTATCCCAGGAAAGGAAGGGAAAATGTAAAACCTTAATTCAAAACAACTAGTGAACTAAAAATGGGGTGTTGTGTCTGAAAAGGGAATGTCTCCAGTTAGGGCAGTGGTTCTCAACCTTCCTAATCCTGTGACTCCTTAATACAATTCCTCATGTTGTGGTGACTCCCAACCATAAAATTACCTTTGTTGCTACTTCATAAATGTCATTTTGCTACTGTTATGAATTGTATTGTAAATATTGGATATGCAGGAGGTATTTTCATTTACTGGACCAAATTTGGCACAAATATCTGATACACCCACATTTGAACACTGCTGGGGTTGGGGGGTTGATTTTGTCATTTGGGAGTTGTAGTTGCTGAGATTTATAGTTCACCTAAAATCAAAGAACATTCTGAACTCCACCAATGATCGAATTGAATCAATCTTGGCACACAGAACTCCCATGACCAACAGACAATACTGGAAGGTTTTGGTGCACACTGACCTTGAGTTTTAGAGTTGTAGTTCACCTACATCCAGAGAGCACTATGGACTCAAACAATGATGGATGTGGACCAAACTTGGCATGGATATTCAATATGCCCAATTGTGAACACTCGTAAAATTTGGGTAAAATAGACCCTGACATTTGGGAGTTGTAGTTTCTGGGATTTATAGTTCACCTACAATTAAAGAGCATTCTGAACCCCACCAATGATAGAATTGGGCCAAACTTCCCACGCAGATCCCCAATGACCAACAGAAAAAACTGTGTTTTCTGATGGTCTTTGATGACTCCTCTGACATCCCCTCACGACCCCTCCACAGGTTCCACCCCCCCCCCCAGGTTAAGAAAGACTGAGTTAGAGCATCATAGATATGGAATGGTCTCCATGTATTGACATGGCTGTATGTGAAATTTAACATATTTTCGAGTCCAAATGGAAGCTTACAATATACTCTGATATTCTATTTCCAGAGTCTCACTGTTTTACTTGTTGCAATTGTTGTTATTTCCTCAAATACAAGGCGCCCCATAATTGTTGCACTTTATAAACTCTATCCTTAGCTTAAGGAATCTTCATTTAGCATTACAGAATAGTATTCTGTGGAAATGTACATATCTAGAACAGCAGACGAAGGCTGAAATAAATAATAGTTCTTTAGAGAGCTTGAGTAAAATGAAACAGTAACCACTGAAATAGGATCCATTATGAAAGCATTACCTATGGTGGACAGAATTCAAAGACAGCCATATTAGTCTGGAATATCGGTATTTAAAGGAGTCTTGTAGTACCTTTGAGACAAACTGGGGAAAAGAAGTTGGCAGCATACTCTGTGTTATTAACTTCTTTTCTTAGTGAGTCTCAAAGGTGCTACAAGATCCCTTTACATAGTAGGATGGACACTTCATTTATTTCTCCTCACCAACTTCTCCAGTGATCTAAGTATCTGCTTCTCTTGAAAGCTGCCAAGACTGCTTGGCCAGAAACAATAGTGGGATAAGATAACTGGAGAGTGGATCTTGCATACAACAATGAAAAATGACTCTATCATTCCATTTTCAAAACTGGAACTGAGTTGGACCAGCATAATGAGCTATCAGGTTGACTCTGAAGCTTGGGGCCAGAAGAATCTTACTCATGAAGTATGGACAGTGTAAGGCAGCAGTTCTCTATGATCCCCAAAAGCGAGGAGGTTAGGGGAGCTGCTGGAAAAAATAGTTCTGCCAATTTCTGTGCTTGCCTAGTGACCTCATAATAAATGGTAGGGTATATGTATTTAAAGAACAGCAATAATAAACATACAATATAATGAGAAAAGTGTTCTCAATAAGGAGGAAGACGAGTTTGTCAAAATATCTTCCAGTGGGAGTTTGTGTTGCCTCCATGAACAAGGAGCCCTTTTGTTTGTGGAGAAGCCAGTCTGAATGTGACAGAGAACATTTTGAAACAGAATGTACAACTTCAGTATCACAGTTAATAGCTTCAGTATCACAGTTAATTTACTATTAGTAAAGTTAAATATTTATGTGCATCTTTATGAAAGAAACAAGAAGTTTGCAAGAGTCTAATTCATGGATTTGTTCTGTTTCTTCCAGCTTCAGGAGACAGTGAAGAGGAAGTTGGAAGGAGCACGCTCACCTCTTAATGGTGAACAGCAGAATGGCGTCTGTGACAATAGCTTCTCCCCCACAAGCAAGCGGATAAGGAAAGATGCACCTGGCATTGAGAGAGTCAACAACTTGCCCAACAATTTGCCTTTGCCGTCTCTTTCTCCTCTTCACCAGCTTGACATAAAGCCATCGTTACCCTTGCAGAACAGTGGAACTCATGGTGGTGGCCTCGATGACATGAGTAAAAATGGCGGACTTCCAGAAATTAAGCTCCCGATCAATGGCTGTGCTGACCTAGAGGACAGTTTTAACATATTGCACAATAGCAACAGCAAGGAGTTGAAGCAAGAGCCCTTAGATGATCCTAGCTGCATTGACAATTCTGACACATCACTTTCAAATCAGAATAAACTGTTTTCAGACATTAATCTGAATGATCAAGAATGGCAGGAATTGATAGATGAGCTGGCAAACACTGTTCCAGAGGATGATATACAAGATTTGTTCAATGAAGACTTTGAAGACAGAAAGGAACCTGAATTTACCCGGCCAGCCATTGAGATTCAGGAGAGTGCAAGTGTTAAAAGTGACCCATCTCACTCTCCATTTGCCCATGTACCCCTGGGGTCTCCACAGGTAAGACCTTCTTCTTCAGGTCCTCCATTTTCAAATGTCCCTACAGCTTCTAGTTTACCACCAGTGTCTAGTGCACCCCCTGCTTCAGTTCCTGACAACTCACCAGCAAACTGTGTGGTTCAGTCACCTCAGACACCCAACCAAGCCCATACCCCAAACCAAACTCCATCACGACCGGGAAATGGTTATCTCATGAATCCAACAACAGTGACAACGACTGGCTCAGGGCCTGGCCAAGTGGCTGTGTCCAATTCTGATTTGTCTCCGGCAGAACAGCTTAAGCAGATGGCAGCACAGCAGCAACAGCGAGCTAAACTCATGCAGCAGAAACAGCAGCAGCAGCAGCATCCAAATCAATCATCGAGTTGGTCTCCAGTTGGGCCTCCAACTAGTCCTTATGGAGGGCCCTTCAGTACAGAAAAACCAAATAGCCCAATGATGTATGCCCAAGCCTTTAACAACCAAAATCCTGTAGTGCCTCCAACAGCAAGCAACCCACAAAAGACTACAATGAATAACTACCTCCCTCAAAACCACATGAATATGATCAGCCAGCAGCCAAATAACCTGGGTTCAAACTCTTTAAGCAAACAGACCAATATGCTTTCTTATGGCAACACTAAACCTCTGACTCACTACAATGCTGACTTGAGTCAAAGAATGACCCCACCAATGGCCAATCCCAGCAAAAATCCCATGATGCCATACATGCAGCAACAGCAACCACAACAGCCGCAGATACAGGCTCAAATGACACACTTGACTGAGGAGCAGAAACGCATGCTGATTATGAAACAGAAAGGAATGATGAATCAACCAATGGCTTATGGCACACTTCCCTCCCTTGCTCAGGTAAGTGGGAACAGATAATGTCCTTTGAATGCCCTGTCTTTGTTTGCCCCCTAAATTATCCAGCAGACTAGCATCCTCCTCATATTTTCACAGCTAATTTGAGAAGGTTTTTCTTTCTATATCCATTCTGTTTTCAGAGTAACAGCAAATAATTCTGCCCAAATAAGAGCTGTTTTTTATTTGTTAGTGTAACTACTCTACATAGTGATCATTTTGAATTTTCTTCTCCATGTGTTGTATATCATCCTCCACAAAAATGTCTCATTTATTATGTGTATCCTATTGGTTTTTTATTTAGTTGATTGCAAATAGGACAATCGACAACCTGTGTGAAAAATAGTATAAATATTTTCCTTCCTCTAATGTTGTAAAATCAACCAAGCTTTGAAATAATAGGAGATGGAATATACATGAGAAACAAGGCAGACTAGTTAGCTACAGGTGAAAAGTAGCCAAGAGGTTGAGAATATTAAATGTATCAATTTCCTGAGTGTGTTATTTATGGTGATTGAATTCTTTATTTACAATTGACAGATGCAAATCAGTGTTATAAATTAAATCATTTCTGACATAATACCATAGAGGAATTTTTATAGGTCTTAATCTCCTCTTATTAGTGTTGTTTGCTTATTGATCTCTGAGTTTCATTTTCTACACTTTTGGGAAAATCTCAGATTATCAGTGTCTTGTTAACTAATGTCAATGTATTTAAACAAATACTTCTGTAAAATGGTTCTTATTGCCTCAGATACCCTTAATTGAGCGAGGAAGTGGTCTTGTGATTATTAGTATTGCATGAAAAATTCGTAGTGATAATGTCGGCAAGCAACCATCAATGAGTTTTGCCACAAAAGTATAGCAAATTGAATATTGGAATATATGTGTGTACAGGCCACCTTTGCTTTCTCTGAGATGGAACTTGGACCTAGAAAATGAATTGCCTATAGCAGGGGTTCTCAAACTTTTACAGCTGTGGAGCCCTTTTTGAAGCAAAAGTTTTTTGTGGAGCCCCAATGTTTATACTATCTATCTATCTATCTATCTATCTATCTATCTATCTATCTATCTATCTATATCAGGGGCAGTGACAGATGGATGGGGAGTGTTTGTGTGGACTAATTCACACACTGCAAAAGAAAGGGGGAAATAAAGAACAATACAATATTTAAGATGAAGAACAATTTAAACCAATATACACTTAACATTATTTCAGTGGAAGACCCCCAGGGCCATTCGGTCCAACCCCCTCCTGCCATGCAGGGAGGATCTGGGTGGCAAGGAAGTCAGGCAGTCAGAGAGGTGGGGGAAAGGGTCTGTGCTCTGGGAGAACCCTGCTGCTCTAGTTTCCAGCAGCTTAAAACTTTAATTTCCCAGGATTTCTGAGAAGGAGGAAAGAGGAGGAGGCATGAAGTAGCATGGGGCTGCGGAGCCCTTAACTTTCACCCACAGAGCCCCAAGGGCTCCGCGGAGCAAGGTTTGAGAACCCCTGGTCTATAGTCTTTCTTTAGCCTGCCAGTGAACCTGTTGCGCAAGTGAGCCATGGTAGACTTTTGTGTTTTTCCTTGTGAGTGAAGCTGGACTACTGATCATATGAAGGATCGCTTGGCAATAGGAAGCTACTATAGGTTTGCTATTAATCAGAAGGGCCTGTTGATATTTGGCAAATAGACAAGTTTGCTTAAATCAGCAGTTTCCACAACTATTATGAATTCTTCTGTACAATGGTGGTATATGTGCTTGAGATTCATCATGGCTAATGTTGATATGACTGTGGCAATAGGATCCATTTCCAAAGTGCTACAACACCCACTAAAAGTGGTGGTGCTAGTAAACCTACTGTAATCAAGGTAAAACAGTTATTTGTTCATTACAGATTTAAGAGGGTGGGGGGCATAGTTGCTGATTTGTTAAGAAACGGGGAATGTATGTATCTGCACATTTTTGGGCCACAACTATTCAGCCCTAGCCAACCTAGTCAGTTGTGAATCATAGTAGGACTTCCAATACAATAACATGTGAGAGGACACAAAGTGCCCTGGCCTTGCTTTACAAGATGGAGTCTAATCCTGTAGTTCAGTGATTCTCAACCTGGGGTCCCCAGATGTTTTTGGCCTTCAACTCCCAGAAATCCTTACAGCTGGTAAACCAGCTGAGATTTCTGGGAGTTGTAGGCCAAAAACATCTGGGACCCCAGGTTGAGAACCACTGCTGTAGTTGCTGAGGAATATGCTCTTGGAGAAAGGAAATGTGTGGACTTGATATAACCACATTGACTTCTTTTTACTAACACAGTGTGGTCCATCTCATCATCAGGAATATGTACAAACACATAGCACACATTCAGTCCTTTGTGTTGTGTTTGAAATGTTTACTTTAGATGTTGTGTACATAATGCTATATTCCCACAGTACAATATTATTGTTTCTTATTCACTTCTGTTGACCCAAACAGGATTAAAAAAAAACACAACATGGATATCATAAAACAGGATGATTACGACATATATGTAACACAGATATGATGCAATGCAGCACTCCTTTCAAGGCCCCGTGGTGGCACAGTGGGTTAAACCACTGAGCTGTGGAACTTGCTGATCAAAAGGTTGGCAGTTCGAATCTGGGGAGCGGGGTGAGCTCCCACTGTTAGGCTCAGCTTCTGCCAACCTAGCACTTCGAAAACATGCAAATGTGAGTAGATCAATAGGCACCGCTTTTGAAGGAAGGTAACATTGTTCCATGCTGTCATGCTGGCCACATGACCTTGGAGGTGTCTATGGACAACACCAGCTCTTTGGCTTAGAAATGGAGATGAGCACCATCCCCCAGAGTCAGACATGACTAGATTTAATGTCAGGGAAACATTTACCTTTACCTTAATACTCCTTTCAAGGTGTTTCTGTAAGTTTAATACAGAGGAAACAAAACTATATAATTATATCAGCTCCAGTTTCCAACTGATTTCCCAACTGTCACATTTTTCTCTCCTTGGCCCACAGACAACTCCATTTCATCTCAAATACATTGCAATGGAGCATACCATTCTGCAACTCTGTCTATACTGGTGGATGTTGTGCAAAAAAACAAATCACCCTTGATTTTAAGATACAGTTAAAAAAAAACAACTCCAGGAGGAACCCATCCCAGTACTACTACATCTCTTTTAGTTCACCTCCAAATGACCTGAGCAGAACAGGAAATCTTCACGCTTCCATATAGAAAAGTATTTCAGGTCCCCGTGGGCCAATTTACAGGCATACAGAGAAAAGATTGACTTAGGTGGGAAAGGTAACACAGTAGCCTTCCATCTGGAATGTATTTCCCCTTCTTTTTCTTGTTGCTTTCCTGAAAAATGTTTGTTGATTGACCTCCCTATGCAGTCAAGAATAATTGTTCCTCACAATGATGGGAAAAGATTTTTTTTGATAACATAGAGCCAGAATCACAAAGATGGCGCCCCTCCCTTTCTGTCTTCTTCTCTCGGCCTCAGGAAACAAAGAGAATCAAGGAAGGCCAGAGTCTTTTACCTTACCTTTATTCTGTCCTTTATGGAAGCAACGAAGGGGGGGGGGGGAACTTTTCTTCTTTTTTGAAACCATCTCCAAAATGGGGGCATATCACTGCATGGTTAATATCTCTATTATGTGTTTTACTGAATGTCTTTCTAACCTGTACACCTACAATAAACTTGTTGCCGGGTTTGTTAGGAGCTGCCAGATGAAAGGCTGTATAGAGACTATTATTCCTGTATAATGCAGTGCAGCAGAATTCCCTCTTAGCACTCGCCCTGATCTAGTGTCAGTAGTTTGAGAACTATACAGAGCCAGAGCAAGGCGAAGGAGTCTTATCGCTTGTGGGGAAAGCTTGTTGTACTCTGTGTAGTTGACTCCAAGTTGCATTTGTTAGTGCCAGAAAGAACATAGCATATTCTGATCCTTTGGTACTCCATATGACGCATTGGGGAAAATAAGGTGCATTACACTGTCCACAAAGATAAGGAAGGTTCAAAACTTCACAGAACACAATTGCTACTAGTTTCTTTTGTTACTTACCTCGTTTTGCTCTATAAGACTATAAATGGAAGCATGGAGTGGAAAAATAATCACATGCCTACATGCGTGAAGGGATACATTATTGACAAAGTCTTTGGAGATTTTAGTGCTTGGAAAAAAAATCAATTTTTACACTGCAGTTGCCATTCCTAAGAATTCTGAGAGCTGTAGTGCAAAGTAACTTTTCCAAGCTATTGATTTTAAGAAGCATGATTTGCAAAGAGAATAAGGTAAAGCACAGAAAAAAATGTGACCATAAAGGCTCTGTTTGTATAGCTATCTTAGTTACAGATGAGAGTTCCTGGCCCATTTATGTTTACATCTTCCCTTATTAGGTCTGATCAGACTGTGCCCCATCTTAAAACATTAAAGACTTGCAACATTGTGTGTGCCATATTGGCTACATGAACATCCTAACAGTGAGATCAATAGCGCACAATATTTCATGTTATTTTCATGTGTCAGTGAGTAGCTGGTCTGTTTTCCAGGCTTTGGTGAGCTTCATTAATTACTCTATTAAAAAGAAAGTGCATGTGGCTGGACAGAAAACTATTTAGCTCAACATGAATAGGAGTAATTGGACAGTTGGCAGTATGTTAAATTGGTGGTCTAGTGAGGAAAAACTAGCAAATCTACGTTGTTTTTTCAATGCACAAGAACCAGTGGATTTTGTTTAATCTCTTACTGAATATTGTGTCTTTGGACTTGCAGTGGTCACAACTCATTTCTCTGCTGAAAACCCGCAATGAGTAGCTTTTGCACTGGAAAATCTCTGCCACCAGTGTTGTAAGAAAAATAATCTATAGAAAAGACAGACACTAATGCTTCAAGTGCTGTATTTTAATGCTAATCCCAATTCTGTATAATGAGCACTAGACAGTTCTCATGCCTGTATTATTTCAAAAGAGATTTTGAGTAGCAAAGAATCAAGCTTCTTACAAATCCTTCTCCA